CCCCAAAACCCCAAAACCCCAAAACCCCAAGTCTTCAAAATACTATGGAATCCATGGAATTGATAATTAAATATATTTTATAACTTATCTCAATTTAATGAACATTTCAGTCCAGAGACTAGATCCATCATAGATTCAATCTAAAGGATTAATTTAGTCACAACCAACTATGAGGTAAATACCTCCCTAAAGAAATGAGACTTTATTGAAGAGTCAATAAACTCTTGCGATTAATGTACTGACCGGAAATGTGCTAAGACATTCCTAATGTAAGAATTTGCTCCAAAATATATAATTATTAATCTCTAATTCAGAAATATATGACAAAAAGCCAAAGCCAACAGATAATAAAGATTTGAAGGAGCTAGAAGATACAATAAATGAAAACAGAGAAGAGATAATAAATGCATTTGCTTAATTTTCATTTCACAAGGATGAAAATTCCCCAGAATTGATAAAAGTACATGATCTTTCTCAGCTGTTTACAAAATTAGAAGAAATTACAATCCTTGATCTATCAGGAGTAAAAGACTACATTTACCAAAAATTTAGCTTAAGTAAGCGATATTTTCACAAGCATTTATAAGTTTTCCATTATAGGGCTTGAAAGATATTCAATAACTTGTGATGATCTTTTCACCGCAATATAGCTCTATATTGAATATGCCTAATTTAAGAGAGCTTATCCAGACTATGAAAAGGATAAGGAGCCAGTTTTCTTTGATAATCACATTGCATCAGGAAGGCCAATTGGATATTTAACTGCTTACACAATAAAATCTGATGATCCTCGAGAGCCATTGAGAGTAAGAAATCTGTAACTTCTCTGCTTTAAACTTGCCACTCACAGATAAAATATTCTTAAACTGCTAGATAAATATTAGGGTAGAGGCCAGGACTCAGGGCTATTAGACCCTAAAAAGGGAAATCTTATTCCATTTTCAAAGTTAAGAGATCTTATGCAAGAACTTTCTAAATTACTTGGAATTGTTATAGCCAGTTATGATTAGTTTAAGTAGAGTATAGTTCCGACAGAAAACTCCAAAACAGTTTGTGATAAATTCGAACAATTTATCTATTTACAGATGCTTCAAATTTCACAGAAAAATCTTGAGAGAAAGGTATCACTCATTAAGAAATAAACTACGGTTGTAAATGGTTAAAAAAAGAAGGTCAAATTCTTAGAGGATGGTCTTTAAGCGGCAAAATAGGATGGCTAAGGATTCAAACCTGATTTCTTCATGTTTAACATTGATAAATTTTTCTCTAAAGAATTAAACTGCGTAATATAACCTACTGATGATGAGTATCAAAATTATTTGCTAGATCAGGAGAGAGAAAAGAAAGAATTAGATTAAGCAATAAATGAGTTAGATGATTTCTTTTTTTAATTAACAGAACCAGATGTTAATTAAAATTTAGACAAAAGAGATTAAGAGGCAGACTAAATGATCTAATAACAAGATTCTGATCATGACTTCCTTAGTTAATAGCTACAGAAAAATATCAAAGATTATGAAAACATTTTGAAGATGAAATAATACAAGAGTGACAAAGAAAGGATTGAAATAATTAAGCTTGTGGATACATTGAAACAATAATTAGGCAACTATAGATAACAGAAAAGCTAAAGACCAATATCTAATAGAAAAGTAGAAGAAGCGAAACCAAAAGAAGATATTCATGAGCAAAGGTTAAGAGGAATGAAGGAAATATTTCATTTTTACTCTAGACAGCATATACCTCACAATAGGTAGTTTGACGATCTTAAAGAAATCATGAATGAGGTTGATTTAGGTGAGTATACAAAATTCTGCAAAGATTTTGAAATCCCACTTTCTAAAGCAAAGATTACAGAGATTTTTAAGAAATGCTCAATTAATCACAAGCCCCATAAATTCGAGTAGTTTTATAACTCAATGGGTAAAATTGGCTAAGAAATCAATAAGGATAAATTAGAGGAGTTAAATATCAAAATTAAGGAGATTGGCAAGTAAATTAAACTAAATCATGAAACTTAAAACTATAATTAGAAGAGAAAATCATCTGAAGATTAGATTAATGAAAGCTAAGTTGAGGAATAAAATTACGATAGACAAGATGAATCAATGATAATAGATCAAAGAAGAAATAGTTAAAATAGCCAGGGAAGTTAATATAGCTTAAGATCTTTTTCTCAGAATAGCAGAAATGAAGAGCAGAGTTAACTTAAAAAAGCAAGAGGTATTTAAAAGATATAAGATAATGAAGATGATTCTGTTATCGTGAAATAGGAAACGATAGTGGAGGAAGATGAGTAAAATTTTGATGGATTAATAGTACCTTCAAAAAATGCAAAAAATTAATTGGATTCTAGGAATAATGATAGATATAATCCTAAAACTGATTCTTACTAAGGAACCTAAAGAAATAGTAAAAATCAAATTGCTATAAAATAAGATCCTCTTGAATAAGAGCTCGATAAATTAGTGGAGCAAAAAAATGAGTTAGAGAACAAAACTGAGGAGTAATGTAGGGATTAAATTCTCGAATAAATACAATGCAATGATCCAAACATTTATAGAAAAAAAATTAAGGGTTTTCATATAGCATTTAATATTCGTGACAAACTACCAACAGCATTAGAAGATGCTAGTAAGAAAATCTAAAAGCAATCAACAAAACTGTCGCAAGAAGATATCAATAAACTTGCTTCAGAGATCAAGAATAAAAAAGTCATTAGCAAAAAATTTAAAAATAGAGAAGAATCAGAAAAGTTTAGTTAAGATAGAGAATCATTAAGAAAAATGCACGAGCAATTAAGAAAAGAAAGAGCTAACGAATAAATCGGATCAGCAATTGATGAAGGAGCAAATAAAAATGATAAACATGTCAAAGTAACATTTGATGTTATCGAAAAACTTCACTATATGGATTTTAATAAAGGCATGAAAGGGGAAGATTTCAAACCAGAGGATATTGTTGACTTAAACGATGTCGAATCAGAGGAAGATGAAGTTCTTAAGAAATTTAAGAATGACTAGCCATATGAATCAGTTGAACCTGTCAATTCGCAGAACCAAGGATTAGGATTAAAGAACATGAAATCCCTAAGATTAAAAAACGGAAGTGTTATTGAATCAATGAGAGACAAAAGACCGTATAAAGGCCAATCAATTTCAGCTCTAGGGCAATTCAGTCAAAAGAAAAATTCCATTGATTAGTTAAATGATAAGATATTAGCAATAAAGGGATAAATGAGTAAGATTAACCAAGGTAACCCTTAGTAATAATCTCAAATTATAATCCAGCCTTAACTGATAATGAATGCAAACAGATAAGTTGATCCATACGGATCTAACAGTATAAAACAAAATTATTTATCTGTCAATAAATCACAAATGGATACTCCTGAATATGGCAGCATAGAATAAACCTAAAATAACTAACTAAGTGTTGAAAGGTAAAGCAAAAAGAGAGGTGGTTAAGTAAACCAAAGTTAAATATAACAAATGAAGAACAAGCTAAATAACGATTATGACAATTCCCTTGTTATTAGACCATAGTTAAATAACTTATCTCCATTAAGGTAAAATATTTCTCATGGAGGTCTCACTCAAACCAATAGTAGGAAAATCATAAAACCTTTAAATTAATCAATCGCGATTGCCAATTCAAATTAATCTTTAATTTATGGTATTGATGATGGTCATCAACTAACAGGCAGACATCGAGATAGTAGTCTAATTGCTTAATCATTAGATACTCAGTAATTACTTTTGTCTAAATAAAGAAATTAATCACTCTTATCAAATCGGGAGAAACAAGGACCAATATTATAAGCAAAAAATTAAAAGCTAGCTACAAAACTTGCTGAAATCGGAAATTAATCAAATGAAAATGGCAGTAAGCTAGGATAATACAATAGCATTGGAAACCTCAAACAATTTTAGTCTAATGCCCCATTGAAAAATTCAATCATTGCTGCTCCAGGATAGCTATCATAAAATTAATATTTCAACGATCAAACTTTTGGTGGCTAGAACTCAAGCAGAGATCAAATGTTAAACAGAGCAATTTAAATTTAGTAAAAATCTAAGATTGACTAAGAAAGGGTAAGATCTAGTATTTTATAAAGAGTTTATTAATGTATTTTATAGTAAATGAATGGAATAATGAAACTGCACGAAAACAACTTGAAAAAGGGACTCAACATTGTAAGAAAAGGCAAAAATCTGTGAGATTGACAAGTATATTTTTGCTTCCATCATATTATTTAATCCTCCTCTATTTAAAATATATTAATTTTAACTCTTATACCATAAATTAAGTTTAAATTTCACTTTGATTGATTCTATATAATTTGTAATTTTAAAATTTAGGTATAAAATGGCAACATCAATGCAATCAGCTGGATAGAGCTTATAAATCTACTAACCCACTGAAACTTAGTTGATTCTAAAAAAGGATAAGATTTGTGAATTTAAATCTCACATTGATGATATGAAAACCACTGTAAGTTCTTAGCAATATAGGTTTCAATGTTGATATAATTTTAATTTTAGATCAATAAGCACTTCGATCATATTTTAGATTTTATCGAGGAATTCGTAGCAATAATAAATGATAGACTTTCTACTCAACGAGTAATCATAGAGAAGTGTATTGCTCTTTTTGAGAAAAAATAACCATTATTAAATGAGTAAAACTTGTACAGAGTAGCTGATTTTATGGAAAATATGATCAAGGAATTAGACAAGTAATGTGATAGAGTGAGGGAAACTAATAAACCAGGCTCGGGTAAATAAGTTGATCCAATACTAAGGTTGAAGATGGAGAATCTAATATAAAGATAAATTGAGACGATCAGACAAGATCAGTAGTATATGGACAACTAGAATAAGATGAATAACGTATTCAGGAAGAAGATTAAGGTTCCTACAATTTTCAGTCAGGTTTTCGAAAGTAACAAGATATAAAACTTTGTTGATGTAATTTAAATTCTGTTCTCAATCATCTATAGAACGATATATTTAAGAAAGTGAAATAGTTCATTTAAAGCTACAAAAATCTGCCCTTCAAGTGCAAATTTTGTTAAGGAAGATAAATCAATCTAAGATGTATGAGAGGCTTGGACTTAAAGCTAACTCAACAGGACAAACAACAAAATTTAATGGATTACCAAACCTGTGAAAAGTAAACACAATCAAATTAAATCAATTTAGGATTTGGTACGACTTCTATCATAATTTTGTTTAAACAATGAAAACCTAGATGATACCAATTGAAAGATAAAATGATTTAAATTTCTAGGTTTAGATAAAGGAGAATAATGCGCTTTAGAACCTGTTCGGAAGGATCATCTGGATTAACTTTGATAGCCAGATAAAACTACTGATGAGAATGGATAACCCATTTAAAGCCAAATACTTTGTTGTTTGCTCTGTACAGGAGTATGCTTTTATCAAATTCATAAACTTTTTAGAAAAGAAATAATGCCTGAGGGTGAGTCGAAATTTGAAGTATTCAGATATTTAACACTATAATTAAGAAAGATATATGCTTTTTATGAATCAATCAATGAATTTCCTGTTGGGCTTTTGATAGTAATATTTAAGCTAATTTATAAACCTATAGATCCAAGTATTTATGTATTCAAATTTATTTGAGGAAAATTGTAAAAGTATTAAGTTATGCAAAAAGAAACTACTTTGGGATCCTTACTATGGAATACTTCCTCCAATGTATAGAGATATCTGGCTAGCGAATTTTTCTATTACATTTTATCATAATCAATGCTATACTTTTTAGAGAGGTATGTCAAGTAATTGAAGGAGACAGTGATCTGAGTATTAATATATTTTTAATCAATCTTTGTGATTTTCAATCAATTAACTGCAGGGTTTTGGGGTTTTGGGGTTTTGGGG